TCAAAGGTTCTACAGCTTAGACCAGGTTGCTCATTTCCGTCATAGCTCTGCCTCTTTATCTTTCCCTCAATCGAGATACGAACTTCCTCTTTAGTCAACTCTGTATACCCAGCAGGGCAGCCTATAATTCTTTCAACTTCAGTAAAATGAAGCAGACGAGGCTCTCCTTTCTTCATGTACGTAACTACTGGTATGCTGGCTTTATTCCCAAGGTGACAATTTGTTGTCATAACACAATTGGTTTTCTCATTTTATGCCTTAGCATTGTTGATAAGTAATTGTAGGCAAGTTTTCGGATGCGACTCAATGTAAGGCATTTGCTCCGGAAGGGGGATGTTCGTCCAGTACAACCGCCGTCTTTGCTGTGGTGATACTCACTTCGAATCAGTGAGCCCAGACACAACTCCCCCTTAGTGCTTCGTAATCTCAACTCTATCTTCCCATTTCATTGAGAAACATTCTCGAGCAGAAATCATTTTGGTTTCGTCTCATTCATTACTCTTAAAGTCATAAAAAATAATATACTTTTCGGCCCTTGCAATCCATGTTCTCCCGTCATTCTTTCCTCGGTCTCATGCTTAGCTAGTTCTCATGTATTTTTCCCATGTCATTTTGCTCAGCTTATGTGTGTCACCCTCATTCGTCCTTTCTTGTATCCAGGCTTTAAAATGCGCGTTACTTAGTCCCTTTTATTCACATATTTCTTCTGGCCTCCTGCCAGGTCTCTCTCATACTCATGCAAAGTCCATTATACCTGTATCTCTTTTCTGGGCGTCTTGCCAGACTTTTCCTTAGGTCTACGCAAAGCCAATTTCACATATTTTTCTTTTCTGAACATCTTACCAGACCTTCTCTCAAGTCCATGTTAGGTCAAATACTCATCCATTTCTCTCCTGGACATCTCACCAGGTCTCTTCTCAAGCCCATGCGGAGTCATTCACACATCTTTTCCTCAGCGGGACACCTTGCCAGACCTTTTCTCAAGCTCATGCAACGTTAATTACTCATCCGTTTCTCTTCTAGCCATCTTGCCAGACTTTTCTCAAGCCTGCGCAAAGTCAATTACTCATCCATTCTTTTCTTCTGGACATCTTCCCAGACGTTTTCTCAAGCCTGCGCAAAGTCAATTACTCATCCATCCTTACGTTCATGGTAACCTTCTTTTGCACGTTTTTTCATCGGTAGATGGCACACCTTCCCCCACTCAAAATGCGATGTCCCCATCGCACAACTAGTTCTCACTCGGAGGTACGCAGACCTTGGCCCCACCAACTGAGTAGACGGATGTCGGCCCATCAACCCCAAAAAGGAAGGGTAATCAGTCCTCCCCCTGCTGATACCTCACCTCATCCCCTACTTCAATCCGACCTTTTGGTGCTTACAAGACGGGCGTCATCACTGAGGTACCACCCCACATCTGGAAGGTAGGTCCAGTCCAAGCCTCCCAGGACCCCATCTTGCCGTAAGTGCTTTCTCGCAAATCGTTCCTCCCGAGCGGTGTTTTCTTGGATCCGGCCTCTTCCTTTCAAGAGAGTTGGGGCTCTCTATTAGTCTGCGAGTGCAGTTACGAAGACCTCGCGGTTAGTCCCGGAACGGTTGTAATGATCCGGCAGGGCGGTGTCACTCGCCCTGTGGTGGTTGCGGCTTCCACCCGGTACCACGCCTGATTCCTCCCTCTGGACAGTGCTGCTCAACTTAACACGAGCAGCCGTGGTCCATTCCAAACGGCCGTGCCGACCCTCTACGACATGGCGTGTGGTTGGGGAGAAAAAAATGAGACTTAGGAAAACAAATGGCTCTCTCGCCCGTTTGGCACCACGCCCTTGACGTTTAGGTTTCAACATGAGGCGCAGTTTGAACTCCTTGACTAGAGCTCGTTGTCGGGGTTAGTTCCGGACGGTCAGCATCAATCAAAGAGAGAGGTGCTTTGGTCCTTCAACCCTTATTCCTTCTTATGAGGAGCAGGTCACGCTGAGACTTTTGCCTTAACGGGTAGAGGCCTTGGGGTCGCGATGCAGGCATTGCTATCCCTCTTATGTTGAGACCTGAGACTAGAAAAAAAGGAAAGCTCAATCTCTTGCTATTTCCATGGTCGGTCCGACGACCTTACATCAAGTTGCCTAGGGTCCCCTGGCTATGCAATGCAATATTCAATTCTCAAATACTCAATCCGATGTTATTTTCAAGGCTGATTCTCATGGCTGGTCTGACAGCCTCTCATCAACAAGGCCACCCACATGGCCGGTCTGGTGGTCATTCTCTCAATAGTCATTTCTCAAGACTGACCCTTCCGCCCATTCAATCCTCAATTCTCTCATTCCTCAACACCCAATCTCTGTGACCGTCCCAACGGTCCCTGCCCTTCTTGGCTTTAAGGCTCGACCTTCTTTATCCTGACCTTCTCATTTACATCTTTCTTCCGCCCCCTTGGCTATTTCAGCAGCCGACCCACCGACCTTTTTCATCTCTTCCGTCCATCCCATTGGCTATTTCAATGACCGACCCACCGGCCTTTTCCATCTCTTCCGTCCATTCCATTGGCTATTTCAATGACCGACCCACCGGCCTTTTCCATCTCTTATTGCTCATTCCATCTCATCCTCAATCATCCTTTCTTTCACAATCAATTATGCAGGGGACCCCAGTGCCTATTTCAAAAGGAATGACCCTTATCAGGGGTCATTCCCAAACAACCTGGTTAGGGTCGCTCTTATCCATTCTCAAGTCGAACAGCCTGGTTAGGGCCGTTCTTTTCCATTCTCAAGTCGAACAGCCTGGTTAGGGCAATTCTTTTCCATTCTCAAGTCGAACAGTCTGGTTATGGTCATTCCTTTCCATTCTCAAGTCCAACAGCCTGATTAGGGCCGTTCCTTTCCATTCTCAATGTTAGTGCCCGAGGGGGTGGGCCTCGAGGTTACGGATCCCATTTCTGTCTTGGAGGTTAGAAGGTAGCCATCTCCTCTCAGTTTTTTTTTTTTTTTTTTTTTTTTTTTTTTTTTTTGCGTGCTGTTCCCTTTCTTCCATTTCTCACAGTAATTTACTATCCATGTGTACATCCGACTTAGTGTCTAGTACTCGAGTTGGGGCTCGCGACCCCAAGCAGCACTAGCCCACCCGGTCGTTTAGCCATAGCAAAAGACAGGGGCGCCCCTTCCATTTTCACTCTTTCTGATCACTCAGATTTTGACTATTCTCAGACTCATTCATGACTCATTTGGATTAGGCTCCTAGGGAAGGAGTGTTCTTCACGCCCCTTAACCCATAGGTTCCCTAACCTCTCTTGTACTCGACCAACATTCAATGCCTTGCTTCGCTCGTCAGTCCATACTCAAAATTTCTCTCCTAAAAAAACACAATCCTCATTCCATCCAAATTTCACAATACACCCTTCCCAACTGGTTTCATACCATGCCCCATGTCCTTGTCTTATGTACCCACTTTCGAAGGTAGCTCATCCAATAGTAGCCTCAATACGCTATCTTCTAACTTATCATGACACAGTTTTAGCTGGTCTTTTCATCACTCATCCTCTGCAAGCTTACTCATACTATACACATTCTGCTCCAATGCTCTTGTAAAAAAAATAGGATTCTTGCCCAACACTCAATCAACACCTAATGTCTATTGTTATCCTGTGTCTCAACGCGTTCGGCTCCTTGTCCACCCTGTTCCTCAGCCGGTTTTCTAACCCCCAGGCCGAAGGTCTCGATTTCTCTCCTTATCCTTGCAATTTTCCGTAATTCTGCCTCATTAAAAAAATCCAGCGGTGTGGCTTCCACCCCTGCCCTTGCGATTTCCCGGACCTTGATAATTCACTCATGCTTGACTACGCCGAGCCACTGCTCAAACCAATGGCTGGGCGTCGACCCAAACTCATCCTCCCATCTGAAGGCTTCCTCGCGCGGCTGGTGCATTGGAGGCCGTCTCTCTTCCCTAGGTCACGAGATCTCATCCCTTTCATCCCCGCTGCTGATTTCTATGATCTTTTGTATGTCCTCCTCCTCGTCTTCCTCGACTTCTGTCTTTATGGGGCTATATCCTCCCGTTAGGTTCTTTGGATCGTACTTTCTCTTCTCTCTTCCCCATCCTCACGCTCGTCGTGCACGTCCTGTCCCCCTTCGATTTCCTCATGCCAATTCTCACGTCGTTCGCCCATGTTGGCTCCTTCCTCGTCAGGGGCTTGGGCCTTACCTCCCATATCTGCATTGCCCTCTTCTTTCACATTTGCCTTTCTCTTCTCGCCCTCACTGTCAGATGAGATTTCTATACCTTCTCCCTTCCGGATGGGGTGAGGGTTTCCTACACAAGCATTTTCTTCCCCCCTTGCCTACCACTGACCCGCCTATGAGCCTTATGTACAATTTTCTCTTCGTTGTCCTCCTCCCTTGGCTTGACCCTGCTACTTCCCCTCCGGTAGGCCTGTTGACTGCCTTGCTGTCGTTCTCGTTGCTGAATTCCATTTTTTTGTCCTTTCTCGTTTTTTCTCCTAAGTCCTGTATAACAAAACAACATCCGCAATGTCCCTCATACACTCGCCCCCCTCCAGTCGGTAGACATTCCCAAAATGCACCCAGTATCCCTTGCATCATGCCCCCTTTTATATATTTCCCTCCATTATGCAAATGCGTCGTTTGTGAAGATCCCATTATTTCCCCGTCAAAAATTATGGTACAATGCTCCAATAACCTTTCCTGCATAAGCCAGTTATCGCAAAATCCCAAGTCACGCTGCCTTTCAATCTCAGTCAGTCAAGCCATTACCCCAGTCCCCCAAAAATGACAGTCCCACGGACGTGGTCAGAGACAAACCATAGTGTGGGCAAGGTTGTAGTCAGTCCTTAGCTTGTGGCCCCTCAGTTTCCTTATCTTCGGCCTCCTGAAGCCATTGTTCCACTGGGTCCCGACTTAGAAACCTGACCAATCGTTGCCCCGGGAAGGGCCCTTTCAATCCAGTTCCATCCAAATCTTCCAGTTCGAAGGTGTTCAGGCCCACCCGCTTGGCGACCGGGTAGGGGCCTTTGAACCTTCTTCCCAGTTGTCTCGATCAAGTACTTTCTAGTGTCGAGTTCCTTAGCAATACCATCTCTCCCACTAGAAGTGACTCCTTTCTGACATTCTTAACCTGGTCCCACCTTGCTTTGTCCCTCATTCTGCTGTCTACTAGCCGGTTGGCGATGTCTTCCATGACTTCCTCGTTCTTAAGGATCTGTTGACATCTTGCCTCGATTAACTCTCCAGTGGTCATTTGTGGATCATCATCTAACCTATTCCAGGTAGGTACCAAGGCTTCCACGGGAAAGTCGATCTCTCTTCCGTACCAAAGCTCCGCTAGGATACATCCTGTCGTCCTTTTAGGGGTCATATTCTCCGCAAAGACAGTCTGCTTAAGATACCTAGGCCAGTTCCCCAGATGGTCTGCTGCGAGCTTCGCAATCATGTTCTTCAAGGTTCGGTGCCCCCCTGCCACACGTGCATTGGCCTCAGGGTGATACGGCTCGATGAGTTTGATCGGTACACAGAGTCTCTTAAGCATCCCCAACACTTCTTGGTTCACAAACTCCGTCCCATTGTCTGCTATAAACTTCCTGACGAACGGATGCCTTAAGTTGAAGTCTTCTATCCAGTCCGCCACACTCCTCCCTGTCTTTTTCTTGAGAGCGCCCGCCTCCACGAACCCACTCAAGTTGTCCCGCGCATCCAAGATATACCTGTACCCGTCCGTTGATACAGGCATGACCTCAAGGTCGAGATGGACCAGATGTCCTAGTCCTAACACCAGCGTTGATCTAAGCGGCTCAAAGACCCGCGTCGAGCTTCGTTCTTGGCAGATAAGGCAAGTCTGGCAGTATATGGCGACCATGCCTGTCATGCCTGGCCAATAATCGAGTGGTGTTATCTCTGCAAGCGTTCCTTTGGACGACCGATGGCCTCCAGCTAACCCGTCATGCATTGCCTGGATAACGTCTACTTGCCTAGATCTTTCGCACTCAATCCTTCTGGGCATAGCACCTTCCTCCCTTCGGAACAAATGACCGCCCCTTAGGATGTACCTTTCAGCTTCTTCTTTCGCTTTAACACTGACTTCCGTAGGTTGTTTGTTTTCTACCAGCAATAGCCCGATCTCCCGAAAGAGCCCTTCGTATAATCGGACATAGAAAAACTCCTCCCCTTCTTGGCCCCCATCCTTTCCTTCCTGCATCTGGTTTACCACCCATTGCAACTCTTTCCTTTCCCAAGATTCCACTAAGCTCATCACTGTTTCCCGGCCTCCCTCGACCGCCATTGCTATTAGTTCCTCTTTTCGTCCTATTATTGTTCCCCACGAGTCATTTTCTTCTCTACGTCCTCGAGTGGTGACTGGTCCTTCTCTAAGTTTTGCTACTACGGCAGGTGCCCCCTTCTCCAAAGTCCGGATCAATAGTTCTCCCGATATACATTCTTCGCTCATCATTTCGTTATCCACCGCAAGAGTCTCTCCTTCGTATTCGAGGAATGCGTCTATGGGCTCCGCACCCTCCACCCCTTCGGGAGTGATGCAGACCTGGCTCCGCCCATCAGCCTTGTTCCTAATTCCCGCAATCCGTTTGATTTTGTAATCGAATTGCCAGATAAATCCTACCCATCTCCCCACCGTCGGATCTATAGGCCTGTAATTCTTTAAGGCACCTGCAACATTCGTTGGATCGATCCTAAGGATGAACCGCCTCCCAAATAGGTAGGCCTGAAAGGTCTTAAGACAGTGCAAGATGGCTAAGACCTCCTTCTTGAACTGCAAGTACCGCCGCTTTACGGAGTTCAGGGTTCCTCCATCCGTCTCTAGGATGAAGGGTCGTCCCACTTCGTCATTAAAACAAGGTGCGGACAGAGCGACTGTCTCAGATGTCAATATGTCCTTAAGCTTTTGGGCAGCTCCTTCTCGCTCCGCCGTCCAATCCATGATTCCTTCTTCCCTGATCATAGCCCGGATAGGCTCGACAATCTTGGCAAAATTCTTAATGAAGATCCTCCAAAAGCCGACTACGCCTAAGAATGCCCTTACCTCCGTTGTCGTGGGCAGTGGTGTCGACCACTGTGATATCTTGTCGGTTTTTGCCGGATTTGGCTTCCTGCCGTAAACACCGCAACGAAATCCTAGTACAGTTACCTCCGGTACTGCTAGGATACTCTTTGGTCCACTAGCCGTAATGTTGTATACTAGGAACCGGCGGAGTAAGTCCTTGATGTCCTGCAAGTGGTCCCACACAAAACTTCGGATCCCTGGATGGACTTCCGTCTCATCTTTCTCCCACGCGCCTTTGATCGGATTGTCATCGATGTAAGGCTCACACTTCTCTGGGAACATGTCCCCGGCCACGACGAGCATTTTGCGTTGCACTTCGGCCACCGCGTTTATGAATCCCATAGGGGTCACTTGCATCTGTAATTGGCCTACGGGGGTGTGCATAGCGGTGTACGGCCTGTCCCGAACATCCAACGGAAGCTGGTTGTACCTTGAGTACAGATCTATCAGGGAGTAAATGCTTCGAACGGCGTGCGATTCTGCTAATAAGTCAGCCTGAGGTAGCGAGCGAGTATCCCGGATGGTTACCGCATTCAACTTCTGCAGATCCTGAATCCACCTTAGTGGCTTGTTAGGATTCCGAAAGACGAACCACCGGTTTGCGTACGGCGACGCCGTAGGCTCCGCAACGAAGGAGTTCATCTTTGCTCGGAGGAGGTCTGTCACTTCCCCTGCTATCCCAAATTCATAGGACGACCCCTTGTCATTCCAGTACTCATATTCTATCGTGTGGATTCTGACTGGAGGGATCAGCTTCGCATCCAGTCGTCCCTTCTGGTGATCACTAAAGGCAAATGTCAGGTAAAACTCCTGGCAGGTCCTTTTGATCAGGCGGGTTTCTTCTTCCGTTAAGAATCCGTCTATCCCTATCTTCATTGTGTCAGCTACCTCATCTGATATTCGATGTCCTTCCGTCGCCCTTCTTTCTCGGATCACTTGAAGGACCTCTTCCTCCTTCTCCATAGCCTCTTCCTTTGACGTCTCTAGCAGGATCGAGACCGATTTTGCTTTCTTCCCTACCGGCTTGTACTTTCGAACACTTCCTTCCGGGATCTTTTTCCTAAAAAATGAACAGTCGGAATTGCCCTTGTTGCCTCTACGACTCGTGGTTGAATACTAACTAGTTTCCCATTCAGGCAATATCCCTTTTGGACTTCTCCTTCGAACTTGGCCAAGGCTGCTGAGTCCACTTCTACCTTGTGGTATCTGAGGGCCTTGATGAGTTGTAACAGATCGAGGATCTCGAGTGTGACTTCTGGCACGTCTACGCGTACTTCTTTTAGCCTGGGCAGGCTAGCAACAAGTTCGACCTCTAACTCCTTTTCTGCTATTATAACACCTAGGACTTCGTCCTCCTGCCTCCTCTTCTTCTGGGGCAGGTCCATCTTGATCCACTCCTTCTTGTTGAATGCTTCCTCAATCATGATTTCTACCCTTTCTCTCATACCCTCCATCCGTGCGAAAGCCCCTTTTCACGTGCTATCCTCGAACGACGGGGACCATGTTGCCAATTTCCCCTTCGGGGGGTCTCCTCCCGTTCCAAGAAGTCGGAGGAGCTCTCCCCGGCCGGTCACTGGGTCCTCTATGTCTACCATGTATGAGCCGTCGTGCAAGTGCATGCCTATCATCTCCACGTTTGTGCACCACGGTCTCCCGAGGATTATGTCGTAGTCCATTTCCTCCATTACGGTCATCCGCTGAAACGACCAGATCGATTCCCTGACTCTTGCCTTTACAGCGCACTTCGTGACGTACCCAACGAACGGGATTTCCCCGCCAGCTTCCCGGATGCTCCCTGTTACTTCCTTGTTTACCGTATATCCCGTGATCGTTGCAAAATATCTTCTTATGAGAGTGATTTCTGCTCCCCCGTCTACTAATGCGCCAGTATGATGAGTCCCGATCTGGATTTTCAGCTTCCCTACGGGCAGTGCATGAAAGTTAAGCTTTGTCCCAGGTGGTGACCTCATGAATTCGCCGCCTTCTCGGTCGGGCAAGCTCAAACGAATGTCTGCAAAAGCTTTCTCGAGATCCTCCAAGTCCCCGCGACTCCTCTGAAGGTTAGCCACTTCTTGCGGAGCTTCCTCCTCCCTCTCCCCTTCTGGTAATTCGAGGTTGTCGGCTATTTCTACTCGTCGCCGAGTCAACAGTTGTCTAAGCCCTTTGAGCAACCTAGGACGAGCCTGCAGCATAGTCTGAAAAAACACCGACACCATGGTTCCTAGTAACTTACTAATAGTGTCGTCGATCTCAGGCAAGGTTAAGATCGGGATTTGATACCGAAACTTCTTCTTAGCGGCGGTAACCTTGTCCGCAGGCTCCTCTTCCCTAGGCTTCCCATAGACTTTATCTGGTTCCTCGGCCTCATGCTCTGCCTGGGGCTCGGAGCTTCCGACGAACTCCTCCATAACGGTGTCACGGTTAATCCTTCTCCCAGTCGTTCTTTGTCGAGTGGTTGCGTTCACCCTATCACGTCCGTCGTTTTCCAAGATAAATTTGACATGCGGTCCGCGGCCCCGCAGTTGATCCCGAATGATATCGACCACTGGCTCAGCTTCTACGGCCGCTATCTCTAACCCATTTAGCATGATAACGGTTCGTTGCATTCCCCCTGGTGAGTTTCAATTCACCCGCTCTCCCTGTGGTCCGAATATCTCTTCCTTTAATGACCTGGTGCATCTCCTTTTTAAGATATCATGGTTGAGCTTTGGACACGTGCGCACATAATGTCCCATCGCGGTGCAGTACTTGCATTGCTCGTTAGCAGGATCTCTTCGTCCAAATCCTTGGTTGGCTACACCTGATGGAACCACATCTTCCTGGGGAGGGAGGGCGGGTCGGGATACTTGCGCCTGCATAACCAGTAGCGCGCCCTCCATCCTTTCAATTTTATTGTCGACCCCGTGCACCCGCTCATGTAGACTTTCAATCCCCTTCTTTACCTTGTCGCCTGTTCTACCGGTCAGATCTATGACCTCACCTTCCTTAAGCAAGGCCAATGTCTCAGTCATTACCATCTTTTCAGCCAGATCCGTTACCGTACTGAAATCAACGTCCCTAGTGTTTACAAATTTGCTCGTCTGTTGGTAAGCCGATAGGATCTTGTCCTTGTCGAACTCGGAGAACTCTCTGAGGAAGTACTTACTCATTATGCGGTCCGTAACCCCGGGGATTCTTAGTGCTACCAAAGTAAACTTCTGTAGGACGTCATTGTACGTTGCGAAGTTCTTCCTCTGGACTGCTGCTAAATCGGCCTCCGTTGCCATCTTCTCTGCTGCCAGATATTTTCTCATCATCACATCCCGGGTTTCTTTCCAAGACCGGCTAGCGGCCACAATGGCCATTATGTCCCGTCCTAGGCTCAAAGACACATGCTGCCCCAGGTGGTCCATCTTCTCTTCTTCGGTCCATTTCAACAGCGCAGCCAGATTCTCGTAATCTATCAGGAATTCCGTGATGTTCGCCCCATCAAACGTCAACTTTTTCTTAGCATCCGCTAGGCAGCATTCATTTTTGTTTAGTGCTCGCGCAAGGGACGACACTATCTTCCTAAGGCCGCCCTCGGAGCTGCTGGCCTCGCCTGCCATACTGTTATCCGGACCTTCCTTGCCGGCCTTCTGTCCCTCCCTGGTTTTCGTWGTTCCTTCTGGGTCAAACCATCCCAACACTCTTTCCCTAAGGCTCCAGAGTCCTTCGCACCCTCGTGTTACTGCTGGCGTGGTCGGCAAGCGGCTAGCCCTACTATCTATGGCTGGCGGGGTCGTAACCTTTTCTGCTTCCATCCCCGGAGAGTTCTCTCTCTCTTTCCTTCTTTTGCTCGGTGTTCCTCCACGGTCACTACCTTTATCCCCTTGTCCAGTCCCACCTCACCTGGTTTTCCGTTCGTCCCGGGGTTCCTCCTTCAGAGGCCCTTCTTCGTTCCCAGTCATCATTTCCTCAATCAATCTTGCCTTGTACTCCGCGGTCTTTTTTTCTATCTCGGCTAGTTTGCGCCTTGCATCCGTGACCCTTACTTTCCTAGACATGGCTCCTTCTGAGTTTTGGGGGTTTGTCCTATCCTTATTTCTGCCCTCCTTGGTCTCCTGAATCCCTCGCCTGCTTCCCCCGGCTTTCCCTGAGCTTTCCCCTGAGGAGATTTCCTTCCGGTTCCCTTTGGTACCATCCGGATTTATCGATTCTCTGTCCTTCTGCCCCTCTTCGCTTTGTACGGCACTGCCTCCTAAGCCTGGTCCTCCTTCACTCTTACGATTATCTGCCTCCTCCTCTGTTGCCATTTTGCCTAGTTCTGCATAAGCTAAAGAATTCCCAGGACATACGCAACGCAAGGCATTTAGGTTCCCTAGGCTCCCGACTCTGTTGACTTATCTTTATAGCCTTTTTCCTATCTCCGTTTCCTGATCGCCTTTCCCTAAGGAGGAGCCACGACTGGCCCTGCCGCCCTACCGAGCTATGAGCGTGACTTGGCTTCCTTTATCACAAGCTTGTTTGTAGTGCCCTTGTCCCGTCGGGCCGGTGCGAGGGAGTCCGGGTTAGGCATCCTGCTAGGGAAAGTCTTCCCGAGCAGTATTTTCTTTTTCCGACCTTCAGGGTTACGGTCAACCATTAGGAGTCTACCCCCTTCTTTGTTTTCTAGTGGGTTTTAGCCATCCGGGTCCGAGGCCCCTTTCTTATTCCCATCGGCGAACTTCCGTACGTAGCGAACTATACTCGATCTGCCCTATTGGCCTGCCTGCGGATGCTAGTCCCGTTCTCCCCCTCGCGGCCCTTCCGGTTCGGTCGGCTCCTCGAATAGTTCAGCCACCCCTGCTAAATAACTCTCTCCTATCTCAATTTCCCTTTTGATTATGCGCTTGCATCCCGCCCAGTCTAGCCGTGGCGCCCTAAACATCAGGATGTGGATGACTTCCAGTAACTCGTGGGCCTTGTTTCCCCAGAACGATCCATGCTCTACAACGACATCGTAAAACATCCCAATGGTAGGGGAGGGGAAGTGGTCTACCCAGACTATCGCTGAGTCTGCCAGCTCCTGCGCCCTCGCGAGGCTCATGAAGACGAGGTCTATCATAAAACGGGGCACTCGGCACCTCAGCGGTGTGGTCGGTGCCCTGAATTCCCTCCAACCTCCCATTTCCACCCAGGTAAGTAAGTCCACGTTTCTACTACCCCTGACCGACTGCCCTACCCGTGTCAACGCCCGGGCTGACCTCCGAAAGACGGGAGCCAGTTTGTGGCCTTGCGCTATTCCCACCCCTAACGAGTGCCAGCCAATCTCGGACAGACTCATGGTCCCGGTAACTTATAAACTGGAAAATAAGTCATCCACAGGTCCCCGGTTGATTCTCATCCCCGTCCACCGACATTCTACCAACATGAAGGCGGTGTCTCTTCCCAAGGTTACGGCCCGCCATTCTACGTCGAATCCCCGATAGTTGGAACTCGACGGGAGGGATACTTCCCATCGTTCGCCGTTATTCCAGGGCGGTCCGGGGTACCGGGGCTAGCGTTCCATCCGCACACGGAGCGGGCGTTCCATTCGCACACGTCTTGCTGCCATTATTGCCTTGGTGATTCCCTGCATAGTTCACATAGAAAGCGTAACAGCCAACCCTCAGTAAATGTCCACCTACTGCCCCTTTACCTTTTATATCCTCTTTCTCCCTTTTTCGTCCAACTATCCTTCCGTATCCCTAGGAGCCGCAACCCCCTCTGACTGTTCGTACAACCGGAAAAGGTCGTCTATGTAGGTCGAGCCCCGGCCTACTTCCCGCCTGATGATTCTCTACATGACCTCATCGCTTACTTGCGGAACTCCTGGTCGGGTGCTTACTGCAGCTCGCAGTACACAAAGTACTTCATGCCTCTGTTCGTCTCCAAAAGGCCCCATCTCTAGGAAGGCCCGGTAGTATTCCCGATACACTAATGTTTCGTCGAAATTTAGCCTAGTTATGGCAGCTACCGCCTGCTCCACTCACTCTACGCCTCCCATTTGTCTTAGCAGAAAGGGCGGTAGACTCATCCGTACGACCTCATTGGGCAACTCAAAGATCCCTGCCGTGACAAATCTTACATCGGTCGTCACGTCGTCTCGTTCTGGGGCGGCGAACTCAAACCCTTCCCGCCAAGTTATTTGCCATGCCCCTTCAAACATTCGTACGGGGTCATCCCCGGAAGCCAAGGCAATCCTAAAGGTCCGCCATCCCTCTTCCGACAGGTGTAAGGATCCTGTCGCATGTACACACTCTGGGAGGTTCAAATCTAAACCCCTGAACTCCCCTCTGGCACGCCATTCTAGCTCCACTACTAGGTACACCGTGTCCTCCACCAACTCTACCCCCACCCAGTCCATTACCGGGTTGCTTACCGCATTTCTTGTCGGCAGGCTTATTTCGACCCTGCCTTCCGATACCCTTGGTGGCAGGATCCCACGAGGTCTATCCCCCCAGAAAATCATTCGCCGGACCATCTTGAAATGTCTCCTTTCCAACTTCCTTAGTCCGATTGCTGCACCCACCGAGATTCCATGTCTTTCGTGTTTTAGTCTTTCAGCCTTCCCTACTTATCGTACACTGGTTCTTGCCGCTATCCCCGCCCCATACACGTACAATTTCACCCCCCCCCTTTTCCGGTTGTTGCCACCTCCCCCTTGTTTCGACCCTTACGCACCTTCTACGGCCTAATGTACACGCCCCTCTTTTCTGTTACACCTCAATTCACAAGCACCCTCCATACTCCGACCTTTTCGCAGTGTTCGATCCCTCGGCCCTATTTAGTCGAACCACATCACCTCAAATAGTTTAAAGACATCGTCTACGTAGGAGGGCGCGACCGCCGCCTCCCGGCTGACTATGGCGTCCCAAGACTCCGCCTCTACCTCTAGGTGATCATACTTGCCTATTCTTAGGACGACGATGACTTCCTCGGCTTTATCTCCGTAGAAGGGTCCATACTTCAATGAGATCCTATAGAACTCCTCAGTCAGCCAGGCACACTCTATATGCACCCTTCTCATCGAGTCGGCTACTTCTAAAATGTGCTCAAACCCCCCAAACCACTCGGCTATGAACTTCGGTACCCAAGCCGTTGTCCGTAGGCTTGGAGGCTTAAGTTTCTTCCATCCTCCCATCACAACTCTGCTACTAACTTCGTCCCATCCATCGTTGGCGAACCGCTTGCCTTCTCTTTGGGTTCAGGCCTCTGCATCCCCTAGAAGCCACATCGGGTCCTGGCTCATTGCTAACATAGTGCAAAACATGTGTCACCCATCCTCGGAAAGGACAATCTTTTCGACTGACTCTACCTTGCCTTCAGCTATATCATCCCAACCTTCCTCTTCCCTTATCGGGTTCCAAATCCGCTCTACCCATACATATGACAAGTCCCGGGCAACCTCAAACCCAATCCAGTCGCACACGGTCCCCCTCCATTTGTTTTCTATCGGTATAGGCATTTTTATTCCTCCTCTGAGTCGCCGTGGTTCCCAACCTTGGAAGATGTATTCCATCATCCTTTCTTCTCTAGTCATTTTTCCCTTTCCTGCACAATACCAGGCCACCCGTCCTTCCTAAGTTAAGTTACCCCACCCCTTTTAGAAGTCCCAGTCCTCTATCTCTTCATCTTCGTCTTCATCACTGAAGTCGTTCTCCTCGCTGTATACCAACTCCCTTACCCCATCCAGAAACGTCTCCCATATTGCCACATTCATGTAGACTATCCCCCAATGCACAGAGCTAGGGACAAAGATATTGTCCATGCTAAGGCAGTTTAGTATCTCGGCCAGCTCGTCCGTCCAGTTCCCCTCGAACGACCTCATCTCTACTGACAACCGAAAAAAATCTTGCCTAGCGCATTGGTATAGCCCGAGGTTCGTCATGGACTGGCATATCCGTACTAGCCTGCTCCGAGTTCCGAAAACCGCATCCACAGGAAGGGAGGCAACACACATCACATGGTTCTTACGGGTCGCCTCATGCTTCCTCTATCCCCAAGTTCCACTCGTACGTCTACCCTTTCCATTCCCATTTCCCTCCGCTGACATGCAGCCCACACAACCTCTGCTTTTGCCTTCCTAAACAACTCGTCCGGCGTATTCCCGAGTGCCAGCGCTATGACCATAGCATTTTCCCCATCTTGCGACAAGTAGACCCACCCCCGAACTTCCACTGTCCCTCGGAATTCCAAATACATTAAACTTGGCGATAACCTCGTCAAGCTGGCATTAGTCCATACTGTTTCTATCCAAAGAAAAGTGTCCTCTCCTTCCAGCATTGTCGTTTGATACGCTGGTTCAAGGTTTGTCCACGTCCCATCTTCTGGGAGGACGACCAATACCCCATTCTTTACATCTACTGGCATTTCCGGACCACTGGTATAGATCGGGGAAGGCAACCATCGCGCCATCTTGTTTTCAGCACCTGGCCCCTGTTTTCATAAAACGAGCATCAACAGGTCCTTTTGGTCAGGTCAATCTTTGCCCTAGATGATAATTATTTCAGACCCCTCATCAAGGTCTCCCTATTTTACGTCCCCATTCCTAAGTACCTCCTTCCCATAATTCCCTCGGTCGGCCATTCATTTGCCCACATTCTTTCTCTGGGTTCCATTCCAACTGATCTCTATCCTCCTTCCTTCCGATGATCTCTCACTCGTGTGTACTTAGACGGGGGGGG